GGTCATTTAACCAAATGAGTTATTGGAGAACTATTATATGAACTAGACATAAACTATCCCAGGGCAGGGGTCTTACTGGCTTCGTTGTCCATTGTTGCATCCTTAGAGCCTAGGCCAGAGCTTAGCACATAATATAGAGAGAAGGAAAATTAATTCAAAAAATGAGTGAATGAAATTAGAGCAAAGAGAATTGATTCGAACACTCTTAAGAGATATGTCATGCTATTGTCGTGGTTCAGTAGAAGATGGTGAACCTTGAATATGAAGGACTTTACCTGTTTCAGACTAATAATTTTTCTGGAGTTAATATATTTTTACTTAAAAAAAACCCACAATGATTAAAAAACATTAATTTTTTATTTTTATTTTTTTTAAAGATTTTATTTATTTATTTGAGAGCGAGAATGAGATAGAGAGAGAGAGCATGAGAGGGGGGAGGGTCCGAGGGAGAAGCAGACTCACTGCTGAGCAGGGAGCCCGAAGCGGGACTCGATCCCGGGACTCCAGGATCATGACCTGAGCCGAAGGCAGTCTCCTAACCAACTGAGCCACCCAGGCGCCCAAAAAACATTAATTTTTTAAAAGTAGTTCAGCAAGTAATGTAGGACATGAATGATAATAACAAAGTAATGAGTTTTGAAAGCATAAAAGTCCTGGGCCACCTGGGTTAAGCATCCAACTCTTGATTTCGGCTCAGGTCATGATCTCAGGGTCATGAGATCGAACCCCGTGTCCATGCTCAGCGTGGAACCTGCTTAGGATTCTCTCTCTCCCTGTCCCTCCGCCCCAACCCCTCCACTTGCACTCTCTCCCTCTCTAAAAAAATAATAATACTAATAAAATAAAAGTATATAAGTCCTTACAGTAATATAGTTATGTCATGTGAAAGTAATTGAAAATTTTAAATATCTCTTATTTTGCCTTGATAGAAAACACCTAGGTTTACCTGAAAATAGAGGGGAAAATCTTACCCAGTTTCCTAAACATTTCAGCTAATGTATCAAATTTTGCATAGAAAACTAAAATTTGCAGTGCATATTCAGTCTTTGAAAACTGACCTTTTAAAATATTGTACAGCGATAAAATATTTAAATTGTTCACTTAACAGGAAATTCATTTATCCGCTGAAGCAATATATCTTATTACCAGGATTTGTTATAGTCACAAAATGAAGGAAGGGCTCTTGTGCAAGAACTCTTTGAAAACCTCTTTCAGTAACTTCCTCTTGTTCTTGCTATGCATTGCTTTTTTTCTTCTTTATTGTCCCTCCTGTGTACTACAAAATCACCTTTGTTCCATGACACACATGCGGTTTCACACTACAAATTATTCTTTGGCAGTCTAATTTTGAACCGATTCATTCACCCTACATCTCTCCATTCACACCCTGTAGACTGGGCCCTTGTCACCACAGCTGCTGACCACTTTATCTTTTTCAGATCAGAAAGTGTCTGATGTCAAGTTCTATGTAATTAGAACCCTGAGCATTTAGATGAAGAAATGCTTTATAGTGGTACATGTTTATGAGTCATCCACCTCTCCAAGTTGAAATGTAAGAGATGCTTCTTCAGTCCCCAACTGTTTTTTTAAATGACAAATTCTTCCTCCAGTATATTTCTTGTCCGCAACCAGAGCATTTTTTGTAGTGATCTCAGCTTTTGGCAGTGACACTGGAGGTGAACAGGGTACAGAATTCCTGCCATGGAAAAATGGTAACTCAGCACCTTCTACTGAAATGCCTTTTACCTCCTGTTTCCAAGCAATTCCAGGTTATATTCTGCCTTTTCAAGAGCGAGTTTATTTGAGACTGTAAAATTATTGGAGATTTCCTTTTCAGTGGCTGAGGTTGGCAGCTGAGAGTGGAATTGTAACATTAATATTGAAAGGCAGAATCTCTAAGTCTCACTTAGAATGCATTTCTCATCCCTGTGGGTGAGACTCGATGGGACTTTTCAGCTCATGATGAATCAGGGTGATCTCAGCACTGTGGAGCTTTGAGCCACAATCCCCATTCTGCTTCTTGTCTATTGAACAAAGACAGTAACACCTATCTCATGGGGTTGGCATTAATACGAATGTCGTGTACAGAGCACCGAGGCTGCCCCATGTCATTCCTCATGAAGTTTGAGTCTCTCCCTGACTTAAACTAGAAGAGTTGTTATGGGCAGGTGAGAGTTCTAGGTTACAATCTTATGATTTGTTTCTGAGTGAGGAAGAATTGAGGGTGGCAAGAACAGGGCAGTAATCTGTTTAAAGAAACAGACCAGTGTAGAAATCGCCTGACAGATTTGACTTTTGATGATGTTAAAAGCCCTTTTGATTCTATAATATCCAACCAGATTCCCCTTCTTTCCTTCCTCCAGATGGGCTGCCAGTTTTATATATCAGAAATGCCAGACAGCATTTCTGATATATAAAAACTCTGAAGATACTTGGAAGCCTGTTCTCCGAAGCTGGTACCTTCACAAGGTCTGGCTGCCCTAACAGTATTTTTTTAGTTCTAGCCTGGGAGATAAAGAGGGACAGGCTCCAGACTTAGAACCCTGCCTTTGGGGACATTCTCTCAGACCACTACTAAGATGTTCCCTCCTTGGGGCACTGGCCTACATCAACTATCTTGAGGCTTGGCTTTTCACCCTCAGTGGTGTATGATACAGGACTGAAGTTCTTAATTTTCTCTTGGCCCAGTTCATCATTAAAAATGTCCAAGTGCCTAGAAATGAATTTAACCAAATATTGTGTGTGTCGGGACGCCTGGGTGGCTCAGTCGGTTAAGCGGCTGCCTTCGGCTCGGGTCATGATCCCAGTGCCCTAGGATCGAGTCCCGCATCGGGCTCCTTGCTCAGAGGGGAGCCTGCTTCTCCCTCTGCCTGCAGCTCCCCCTGCTTGTGCGCTCGCTCACTCTCTCTCGCCCACGCTCTAACAAATAAATAAATAAAATCTTTAAAAAAAATATATTGTGTGTGTCTATGTGTCCTGTTAGGAAATCACAAGTTCACGAACATATATTTGTATATGACCTTCTAAAAATTTTATTGTTTTGCTCTCATAGTTTAAGTCCAGCTGGTATTAATATTTGTTTAGGTTCAAGGCAGGAATCAACTTGAACTGTTTTCCATGTGCATTCCCAAATATCCCAGAACAACTGATTGAAAATTTTCTCCCTTCGCTCTCAACTTTGAAGTGCCACATTCTTTATAGCTATGATGACCATATGACTTATTATCCAAATTGATTCAATTTTCAGAGTAAAAGAGGGCATTGATATTAATTAGAATAAGTCTCAATTCAGTGAAGTATGTCTTCTCACCTGGTTCTTCTGCAAGACTGTCTCAGATATTCTTGGTCATTTACATTGTTGTATAAATACTAGAACCACTTACCATGTTCCACCAAAAATATTTGTAGCTTATATCTATTTCTATGGTATTTGTACTATATATCTTTTCCAGTCTTTTCCTTTCAAACTCTATTTTTATGTTATAGACATATTTCCTGTAAATACCAGATAGTATTTTGCCAATCTAGCCTAACCATCTTTGTCTTTTAACTGGCACTGTTAGCCAGTTTGCATTTTAGGTAGTTACTTAGATATTCGGAGTTTAATATACCATCTTGGTATTTGTCACGCCTGCTTTGTGTACCTTTCTCTCTTTCTTCTTTCCTCTTTTTGGATTGATTATTTTTTGGTATTCCCTTTTTCTCTTTGGTTTATTTTCAAAGTTATAAATCCTTCCACTCTTCTTCTAGGGTTACCTTAGACTATACAACATGCACCCTTGCTTACCAGAATAGAATGTAATTGTAATTGTACTTTCTTTTTTTTTTTAAAAGCTATTTTTTTTTTAAGATTTTATTTATTTGACAGAGAGAGACACAGTGAGAGAAGGAACACAAGCAGGGGGAGTGGGAGAGGGAGAAGCAGGCCTCCCGCTGAGCGGGGAGCCTGATGCGGGACTCGATCCCAGGACCCTGGGATCATGACCTGAGCCGAAGGCAGACGCTTAACCATCTGAGCCACCCAGGCACCCTGTAATTGTACTTTCATTCTCTTCCCAGACAATGCAAGGACTTTAGAGTTTTTACCCTATTTCCTTCCAGAAGAAGAAAAGAAGGAAGGAAAGTTTTCCCACAACAGATTTGCCAAAATGTTGTTTTTATTCTGAGGACTATCTTACTCTCATCATGGACATCAGTACTTTCAGGCCAAGAACTACCTGTTTTATTCTTGGCTTGTCTAAGATCCAAGAGAACAGGAAGAGGACTGAGATCAGTATATGGCTTGTAGAATCTTAGGAAAATTTATTAACCAGCCCACTAGTTTTGTGGGAACAAGAAAATGCAGCATTTCAAGCCTCATTCCAAGGAGTACATGTATATTAATCAGAGTCCACCCCCCACCTCCCCCCACAGCACTGCATAAAGCCATCCCATTGCCACAAAAACCTGTATCACATGATGAAGTCAAGAACCTTCATCAGAAAACACGCAAGAAGATGGTTAACAAGCGAGATCTTGGCACCCCCCTCTTTGCTTAACAGTCTCTCCCACTACATTATTCTTTCTATCATCTCTTGGCATCTTTTATTATAAGACACCTACTTCTTGACCCCATGTGATGCCACACAAACGCCACATCAGGTAGGATAAAGGAGAACAAAAAGGGGAAGGCAGGCTATCACCATATGGCTCTTCAACAGTTTGAAAGAATAAGAACAACCAAAAATACTAATCTTATAGAATAAGGGATGAGAAATATTGGCCAAGGCAAGTTTGTCTTCATAACCCAGGCCCTTAATTGAGGCTCTATATTTCAACTGAATATCCGTTTTTAAGCCTCCCTTCTACAATCAGTGTCTATTTGGGCTTCCAAAATTCTATCTGTAAAATAAATTACAGAATTATCATGTTTCCTTTGGCTATCAGGAGAGCATAGCAACTTCATAGACTACTATGTTGTCAAGAATCTACACATCTGATTTCTTGGGTTTTTTTTTTTTGACTTGCATTCAAAAGTAATCACTGGACTTAGTCAATATAAAAAAATAGGAAAATAGATACCTGTGCCAAAGTTCATGGGTGTATGTAAACAGTAAAGAGCTGAACTTACAAGGGAAATTAAAGATCTGCTTAGGGATGGTAGTGGTATTGGCAAAGACGTGTGAAAATTGTCACCATTAAAAGTGCAGGTAATAAAGCTCTAAGCTTGACCTTGTATTTCCAGTCTCTAAGGGGAAGAAAATCTGCCCAAGAACAGGATGTTAGATGAGGGATTGTGCCGAATGAAGAAAATGAATGGATGGTCGGCAACAAAGTTCTCCTCGTGCACCAACATGGCGAAGGTGGCAATACCTGCAGTGGCGGCCGCCGCCTCTGTGCCCTCTTCATTCACTTCCACAAAGGACTTGTGGACAATTTTTGATACGAAAAGATCCCTGGCTCCTGACATGCCAGACAGATCAGCCTTGCCACTAAAGAGATCCTGTACACCCAGGTGGGCCAGGTGGGAGTTGAGGTCGTAGCTCTCCTCCAGCTTGAACTTGGGCAAGTGGACGTTGACTTCAATGTGATCCAGATTCTCAGCTTTGGTCCACTCACGCAGTTTTTCCAGAGTCAACTGTTCCTCAATCTGGAATGCCAATGGGCAAAAAGAAGAGGTGAAAACAATTTTACGTAAGTAAACTAAAAAGGATTATTGAAATGAATGGACCCATTATATCAGTTGCTAATTAGCCTCCTCTGTGTCTTGTGCCAAAAAGGTTCCATTTGGAAGATGTCATTTCTTTCCAGTGATTGGTGATAATATAACAGAGCTGTGTTCCAGGCCATCAAGGGTCCAAGTGCAGGGACTCTGGACATTGGGTCCATCAAGTATCCATCCTCCCCCCTACCATACACTCATCCACCCACCGATCCATCTTCCCAGGACTTACTAAGCCCCTACCACACCAGCTTACTATGATAGGCCATGATGACTGTATTACCTAATCAGTCAAGAGGTACAAGGGAGAATTTAAAAGCTTTCTTCTATTTATTATGAACCCCACTGATCACAGTGGTTATCTGTGAACCTCACAGAGCAGAAGAAATCTCTAGTAGACTTAGCTCCTAGGTAAAAATAGAACAAAGACCTCGTTCCTCATTAAAAAAGGAGTAATATGAGTACCCACCTTATCGCACTGTGTATTAACTTAGTCAACATATATAAAGTGCTGGGCACACAGTAGGTGCTACATAAATAGCAGCTGTTCTCATTGCTCTTACCATTACTGCTGTCGGACTAGAGCAGAACCATTACCCACTTGCTCTACTGATGCTGAGTTTCCTTTTCAGGAGGCTCCAGACTTTCTTTTTATAATCAGAGAAAGAGACAAATAGAAGGAACACATTGATTCTAATACATACTCTATACGTGGAAATGGCTAATATTAGACCCCTTCCTGAAAGCAAGTTTAATCAGGGACAGGGTAGAGAAAAACCACTCAGCAGCCTAGAGACAATGAAGAAAAACCATAATCTTTTTTTTAAGATTTTATTTATTTATTTAGAGGGTTGGGGTGGAGGGGGAGAGAGAGAATCTCAAGCAGACTCCATACTGAGCGGAGAGCCTGACGCAGGGCTCAATCTCACAACCCTGAGATCATGACCTGAGCTGAAATCAAGAGTCAGATGCTTAACCGACTGAGCCACTTGGGCACACTGACAAACCATAATCTTCATGGTTTTCCCTAGTCTGAGCCCTGGCAAGAGATGACATAGCCCTTAAATGACACAGACTAGGAACCTCATACAAGGCTCATGTTAGGAGACAGCCTGAGTGCTCAAGCCACCATGTCACATGAGTCTTTTTCTATTTTGTAGCTATTGGAAATTTAATTCACAACCTATATGAATTGCAGCAAGGATGAGCAATGTAATAGGGTTTTATAGTACACGATGAAACTTAGATATTATAATGTTTTGGGATTTTTAATTTAAAAATTTGTTTTAATAAAATAGTCTTCATTTTATTGCACTTTCCCCTAAAGTTCTTCTAAGAGAATTTCCATGAGCTGCCACTGACCCATGTTACATGTAGCACACATCTTTAGATGTTCTCTACCACAACTGTTCCCTGACAGTAGCTGAAAATGTAAACTTAGGGCTTTGGAGTAGTAATGTCCATGAGCTACTTGACAAAAGAATGACAGAGCATTGGAAAGGAAAGTAACATCCATAAACACATACAAAGCACCGACTGCTAGCACCACCAACCACTACCACACAAGGCAGAATGGGTACAGCAGGAGAAGACATGAAGTGTGAAGCTGGGAGCTGTTACCTTCTTGAGACCCGTGGACTCATCCTCAATGTCATCCGGCAGCAGGATAATCATGCTGAGCTCCTTGCCCCGGTAAGGCAGTTCCAGCACACGGCACTTAAGGTCCTGGATGTAGCCAAATGGGAATTTCTTCTTCTGATACATCATTTTCACGGTTTTTTTGTTTTTCTGAACAGTTGAATTAAAAAAAAAAAAAATCACTCACATTTTTATCTGCATTCTCTTCAAGCGAAGAGTAAGTTTAGGCATTTACCTCACCTTACCTTATTCAACCGGAATGGTGTATCGGCAGTGGCTTCCTTTATGAACTCATCCTCCCAGCTGCCTTTGAAATAGATGGCATTCACCAGCACGAGTTTAGTCATGCTGTCAACCATACCTGCAGCCAAGAGTTCCGGAATTTTCCCTAAAATGATAAAGTTAGCTTTTTTAAAAATCCACATATCAAAAAAAATAAAAATAAAAATCCACATATCAGAATTCCAAATTGGAACTGACATTTGATTAGCACTGAAATGCAATCCAAAAGTATATTCTGTACTTAATTTTCCTTTCACATAGTATTAAGTTAGGAAAGCCCTATCAGCGTGTTTCTACTTTAAATAATCCAAGTAAAGGGCTAAGGGGCTAAAACAGGAAATTTCTCCTTTTCTGGAGTGTATGGTAAACAATGAGCTTTATTTTGTGAATGACCATTCTTTTTCAGGAAAAAAAAAATATCCTGTAAAAATACAAAATATTTTTAGTCACTAGTAAATCACTTTTTCAAATCCTCTAAGTAGAAGCCTACTCTCACAAAAAAAAAAAAAAATAGTAAATATGCAAAAGGTAGGACACGTACTCCCCTGAAACACGGGATCCACCCTTGACCAGAACATGGCCATGAACAATTCTTTGTAGGGAAGACAGGTGTTCTGCAGGTGCCCTGACTCCTCCCACGACTAGGTTAGAGACAGTTGTGCTCAACAGTCCCAGCTACCATCCCTGATTGCTTAGATGAGAAGTGGACAAAAATTATTTATGACTACAGTGATTCATGAGTATTCATTCGCAAGTATTAGGGTATTTCTTTCCATGAACATGTGAAATAATCGGGGCCAGGCTGGATTTCCCTCAAATTTTTTATTCCTTTCATTCTACATTCAAGGTGAGCTTTCATTTTACAATGTAGTTTTGGGAACTTATGGGGCGAAATGTATTTAGCTGCTTCAGTTAAATCATGCTGATGTTTCCTCTGTGAAGAATTTCTACATGTGAACACTGTCCAACTGGACGGTGCAGAGTTCATTCCCAGGGTGAACTCCAGGATTCCCAGGGTCAGGATGAGGAAACAGGACAAAGGGAAAGGCAATCAGATGCAGGTGGGGAACCTGGCAGGAGAACATCAGTGTGTAATAACTACTTTCTGCCTGGTCTCTTACCTTCCGTCTGCCCTTTGACCCACTCATTAATCACCTTCCTCGCATCTTCAGAGGCTTGCTGAAAATCCACACTGGCCAGTTCAGCACCATACATTTTCTGAGTTGAAGCTAGGAACTCCTGTTTAAAAAAAAGGGGGGGGGGAATATCATTAATAACTCCTATTACATACAGAGATAGTTTCTTTAAAGCAGAAATGGTCCTAAAAGGTACAAATTGCACTATAACAAAAAAATTCTAACTTTATACTTTTTTATTATGGTAAAAAAGCCATATAACATTAAATTTACCATCCTAACCATTTTTTAATGTATAGTTCAGTAGTTTAGGTGTTTGTGTAAAATTTACCAATTCTTTTCCAACGTTTGGCTAACATTTTCATAAATAAGCAAATACTGATTGTACTTGGAAATGAACTATGGAATTCAGTCTTGCTTTAGTAAAACAGCCAGGATCGATTTTTTCACTGTGAAGACTATAAAATGAAGCCACGTCAATTAATGGGAGTCCTGTCTGTCTTATGTTTTCATTCTGTAATATTTTTCTGAATTTTTATAAAAATTAAAACTGATTTCTATGACTTGGTTATGCTAGAAAAAAAATCTGCGCTGTCTAGTGAGTTTTTGAACAGGAAGTGCAAAGTACTTACAGGGAGAAAATCATATGTCTTCTCTCCATATAACCTATTAGCAAGTTTCAGGATATAGGAAGCTCCACGTTTGTTGATATCAGCATTCAGACTCTGAAATCTTGAATGAATATCCTCAACCATATCAAAATGAAGAGTCTAAAATAAAGAAAACATTCTTTCTATAACCACTTATTTTGAAATTATAAGGTGATTCCTTGGCATTTGCTTCCATCAAATTAAGCTAATGTGGTTTTTTTTTACCAATTATTCATGATCCGTAGCCCAATATTTTATTAATTTCTCATAGGTGAACAAATAATAGAGAATCCAAAATGTGTAGCTTTGTGAGACACAATAATTACAACATTAGAAACTGCTTTTACACCACTTTTTGTTATAATTCTAGTTCTACAATATGAGTGGTTAATAAACTAAATGTTTATACAAGTCTGCTTTTGTCCCAAAGAAAATCATAAATGGTATGTCCGTGTGCTTATCTTGCATCTAAGATAATTTCACTGAAAGTTCTCAGAAATAAACAGTAAAAATAAGAATCATGACCTATGCAGGAACACAAAGATATTACAGGTAGAGGGATTTTTTATTATACTATTAGCATCAGTAACTCGCTTATTTAAAAATAACTTCTTTAAAGTTAACATTTGGCAAAAGTTTAATTCCTCATATATCAGTTACAAACCAAGAGTCCCTTTATGGTTTTATGAGGCCTGGGCTGGTTCTTTGCCTGTAAGACACAAAAAACAAACCTATACAGTGTACAAAGTTCAGTTACTCACCAAGATATGGAATGTTTGCATAGTTGCCATGATTGATCTGCTTCAATGGAAACAGGGGTGGGGGAGGACCTTAAAACTATTCTTTGCTGAAGGCATAAAGAAAGCCTCAAGATAGGAGCTGATAGGGGGTCCCTGAGTGGCTCAGTCAGTTAAGTGTCTGCTTTTGGCTTGGGTCTTGATCCTGAAGTCCTGGGATTGAGCCCTAAGTAGGGCTCCCTGTTCAGTGGGGGTCTGCTTCTCCCTCTCCCTCTGCATCTCCCCCTGCTCCTGCACGTTCTCTCTCTCTCAAATAAATAAATAGAAGCTGGTATTACCCTGCAAGGAGCAACTAACAGTACCAGGGAGTAAAAAAAAAAGTAAATCATAACTACCTATCTAGGCACTAAAGCAAATTCCACTAAAGTAAATGCAGTTGTCCTCATTATTGAGATTCAATCTAACGCTTCCGGAAGTTAAGAGTCCCAAGTCACTCTAGCTAGTGTTGGATGTGAGAGCTTAAAAACCCAACGCAGGTCCCAGGGTTAGGCCTGGGCAGCCCAACAGGGAGATTTTTGAAAATTTTAAAATGCTTTCATATCTGCAATGATGAAGAGGGCTCGTTCTCCACCAAGTACAGTAATAGAAGCTCTGCACCTGGAACAGTCCATTAACTAGAATCCAGGTGTGGATCTTTCCTAGCGGCAGGTGCCATGTACTTTAGGACTGGTACCTTAGAAAGCCCTTCACTCTTGGTACTCCTTTTCCCTAGATTCCAAGGAAAGCCAGAGTTCTCCTCTCAGAAGTAAAAAATACCTAGCACAGAAGTGCCCTGCACCACCCCCCCACCACCACCATCAAGGACAGAAGGAAGGCTGGGCATCACGCTTCTCCTCCTGCCGCCACACCCCCAAGGGCCTGGCCCCGCCCCCGCAGCGTCGGGGCTTCACCGCTCCCTCCCTGCGGGGCCCTCCCGCTCACACTGGCACGCCGTGTCACAGCCCTCACAACCACACTCAGTGCCAGGCCCAGGGCTAGGCGGAGGCAATTCGCAATCACACACCCGCTTTGTCCCCTCCAAAGGGCGCCACTGCCAACTTCTCCGCGGTGGTGCGTTTCCTATGTGTCATTATGCTCAAAAGTAGCATTCCATAGACAGGCTTTATTTACCAGTGGCGGGTCATCACATGCAAAGCAGATACTGGAAAATCCTCGTCCAGGAAGAGATGCTATGGCTTACAGGAAAGCTGTCAAGCAACAGGCACACCTTAGGGGTTTCGTCAGCTTTCCTCACTGCCCTACCCTCAGCCACACAAAAAACTGCCTGGCACATAGCAGGTGCTCGGTAAAGACTTGATCATGAAGGAAAGCCTGCATACGAATGGATTGTTCATCCGGCTCCCTGCTTAGCCGGGAGCCTGCTTCTCCCTCTGCCCTCCCCCCACCCTCGCTCGCTCTCTCTCAAATAAAATCTTAAACACACACACACTGTAAGAGCTCAAAGGCACAAGTTCTCAGTACAGACTGACATTAGCAAGGAGACGCAAGGGAAAGCAGGCTGTTTTTGTTCGTTTCTACTGACCCTGGACACCTGTGCTGCAGTATCACCTCGAGTCCCCAGAAAGATCATGGCCAGCGCTGATGAAATGCTTAAGGGAGAGATGAAGATGTTCCCAGTAGGATTGTCCTTATTCAAAGCGCGGAACAGGTCCACGGCGAAATGGGTGTTGGCTGTGCTCAGCTGCTCCATGGTGAAGGCTACAACACAGAACAGAGGCCCCGAGCTGCCCACTGCCCGCACCAGCAAATGAGGCAACCCGCATGTCCCCATCTCTTCCTCAGCTGCTGCCAGCCACCCTGGAACACCCTGAAACATCCTAGAACTTGTAGTCTCTCTCCCTCTCTTTTCAGGGGGGCAAGACACTTCGCATGCACACGAATGTGGGACTAGGAATGACTGGCCAGGGGTTTAGCAGGGACACAGGACCTAGGGCATCCTAAAGGGCTCTGACCTCGCAGAGGGGTCCACACTGAGCCTCTCCTGCTAAATTTAGGAGCACACGACTTTCTGTGCGCCTTTGGTTCAAGTCTATGATTCATCTGGGCAATGAATCCATTGTCCATATTTACCTGAAATAGGAATGTTTCTACTAGAAAATCATAACTACCTACCTAGGCACTAAAGCAAATTCCACTAAAGTAAATGCAGTTGTCCTCATTATTGAGATTCAGTCTAACGCTTCCCGAAGTTAAGAGTCCCAAGTCTCTCTAGCTAGCGTTGGATGTGAAAGCTTAAAAACCCAACGCAGGTCCCAGGGTTAGGCCCGGGCAGCCCGACAGGGAGAAGGTGACAGCATCCTCTTGGTCACCCCTGCAACAGTTAAGTGCACCTGGCCTTCCATCTCAGCTCAGCCACCCACTTACCCCTTGTGACTTCTCCCAGAGCCATAATTAATGTCCCCACAGAGAGGCCAGTAAGATGACTAGCTGGGCTGGCTACTTAGCGGGTAAGGAATAAGCTACATTATTGTTGCTGATAAATCTCTCTCTCATCGGGCCTCCTTTCCCTTCCTCCAATCGCAGAAAGGAGGAGCGGGCTCCTCCGGCCCGGGCCTGGGCTGCCTGGAAACTGCCACTAACAGCTCAGGCAAGAAGGGAGAACAGGAAGAAAAACGTTCTGATCCCGGGCCTTACTGATTCCAGGCGCCACGCCCCGAGGGACCTCGGTCCCCCGCAGGCCCGCCCTGCCTAGCGCCCCGGACGCTGTGCCGGGGGATCCGGGGCTCCCGGGGACGCGGGGCGCACGGCGGAGGCGGCGGCGTCCGGGCCGCGGGGCGGGGCTGCGCAGGGAGCAGTCCGCGCGCACCGGTCGGGGCTGCGGTGATCTCTCGGCACTCGGGGCTCGGCGCCACCGATGGAGCCCCGACTGGCCTGTCCCGCCCGGCCCACCTCCCCACTGCGCCCGGGCCCCGCCTTACCGGCTCCGCGCTTGGACGAGCTCCGGGTGGCGCGAGGTGTGGGAAGAAGCGCTGAGGCCCGAGGCCCTTATAGCTGCGGAAGGGGAGTGTCGCCCACGCAGGCCGCGGGCGGGCGGCGGGCAGGGCCTTGGCCCTTCCCCCCAGGACTTCCTGGGAGTCTGGGCTTGGAGGCTTGGCCTCGTGAAGCCGAGGTGAATGGGGGCTCCGCGCCGCGTCCTCCTTTCAGCCCTTCTCTGAGTTCTAGGCAAAGTCAGATCCCTGGCAAGGATCTGATGGAATATTTCTTACTAAGATGTGAATGACTGCGATGATTATAGTGTCACCTCTTACAGGGCAAACTAGCCCCTTCGAGTCCCATCTATGTATGATATACTCCAAACTCGGAGGTTGTTTATTGATCTTTTGGTGGGGGAAACTAATTTGGGACTCTTGCATAGGGCACAAAAGGGCCTCCAGAATAAGAGAAAACGAAGTTCCTTCCAAACAACATCCTTGCCGTCACTGTCTTTCAGGTACCAAAGTGGACTCCGCTCCGATACTTCCCTCACAGGTGATGACCACACCAGCTGAGTCAAATCACGCACCACACGCCATGATAACTCACATCTGTGAGCAATGAAGTATTGCTTACCCACTAGACGAAAATGTAGACTCACCAGTTTTTCTTCCTGTACTCCTGAAATAGAATGACTGTGGTTGAATAGTAAAGGCAATAACTATTTCTGTGGGGTTTTTGTCTGTTTCTCCCTTTAAAGGTCCAGGTATGTAATTTCACCAAAATTTATGGTGTTTGAGGGTATGAAATAATTCTTAGTCCATGAAACTTCTCCCCTGTTTTTTTTTTTAATCTCAACATGTAAGGGGGACAAAGGAAAAAATCCTATTGTTTCATTAGTATGGATAATATAGTGTGAATGGATTAGTAGATTTCTTTCAACTGTGATTACTTATTTATAATGAAAAGGAGCAAAAAAGATCACAGTAATGAGTACTAAAAATACTCTCCATAGTTATAAAAAAAAGCAGCAAGCGTTAATAACTAGGATTGTAGAGTGCTTTACAGTTTATTAAAATAAAGAAATCAACACTTACGGAAAGCCAATCACAATTAACTTGAAGCGGTTTGATCAAATCTGGTAAACTCTCCACCACTTCTCATAGAGCTAGAGACCTATTCTGTAGCTTCTGCTAAGAGGTCAATGTGAGAAAGTCGAGAGTACAACGCTGCACTGAAAATGTGTTAAATTAAAATCTGAGACACATAAACCAAAAAAAGAAAAGTTCTGAATTTTTATTTTTTTCTCCTGACATTTTGCATTTGTGCTTACCTGGAGTTAGTAATCTGGGTCGAATATAAAATGAAACCATTTCTTAAATCAATACATTTATTGTCTAAGGTCAAGACAAAGTAACTATTTGGCTGAATGACATTGGAGGGTCCTACTTGTGGCTTTAAATTGTGCACGGCCACATCGAAGGTCATACAGAGATACCCTCGCACATGGGTGATGGCACAGCCAGCTTGGACAATGTTTGGCATATCTACTGAACTCAAACACATGCTTACTCTAACTGTGATCCAGCAATTTCACCCCAGGAATATACCCAAGGAAAATGTGTGTGAGCGTGTGCACCTGGAAATATGTACAAGAATGTTTTCTAACAACGTTATTTATATGAGACCCAAACTGGAAACCGCCTAAGTGCCCATCAACAGAAGAATAGATAAATTAATACAACAGAATAATATACAACAATGGAGATGAACTCACTACGGCAATACACAACAACATAGCTGAATCTCACCAACCCACTGTTGAATGAAAGAATGCAGACACAAAAGAGTGTTCTAGTTGCGGAAAGTTCAAAAACAAAACTAATTCATGGTGTTTGAAGTCAGGAAAGACATTCTCTCTGGGGAGGGAGGAGTACTGTACTGACTCAATTTTCTTGTTTTCTGTATTCTTGGTGCTCTGGCATTTGGGGCCCTGATCCTGGAGAGACTGCCCCTACCAGGGCTAGCTAATTCCTAGAGATAGTGAGTGATGCCCCTGATAGCGAAACTGTGGCATACAAACCAACCAGCTCGGTGACTATACTCTTGACTATCTTTTTTATCAAACTCTCACACCTCAAGCCAGTAACTCGCACTGCCCTAAATCACCCCAGGGCCAGGTACCAAACAGCTAGAGACCATCTGAAGAGCCCAGCAAAATTATTTCAACTACCCAATCATAAGTTTTCTTAGTGTGCCTACCTTGCCTTGCCCATTCCTTCCTGCAAAAACCCCAGTATAGGCTCTAGGCCATGCCCCGCCCTCTTGCCTTCTGCCTGGGATGCTCCCCAGGTCCTGCGTGGTCTGGCATGGTGTGGAGTGGTTTGCCTTTTACTTCTAGGGATCTGTGAGTATAAACCTCCTTCATGACTACCATGTCCATGTCAGCAGTCCTACCACAACTGACAAAAACACATCCCTGCTTCATTTTTAACACAGGGGGCGTGAGTGGGAGCAGCATGGTGTGGGGAGGGCTCTGGGGTACTGATAATGTGGCATTTCTTGACATGGGTAGTGGTTACACAGATGTATTCATTTTGTGATAATGCACTGAGTTGTACACATAATTTTTGTACTTTTCTGCGTGTCTGTTATACTTTAATAAAAGTTATTAAAAGTAGCAAAAAAAAAAAATGTTGAATGCTAGTGATTATCTTTTTTCCTGTCTCCCCTTTCTCCCCTGCCACAGGATCAATCAACTTGAAACCAGCTGGCATATCATCCAGCATGTCCACCCCCTAACTGTGTCAGCAGCTTGTGCCCAAGGGACCCGGATGAGCTGGTGAGCCCCATGCCCTTCCTGCTCTCCCACATCCAGCAACGCACAACTCCGAATCCAGGTGAGAAGCCCTTCCCATCTCTCCCTGCATGTGAACACACACCAACCACTGACTCAAGGGGCACAATAAAGGAGATGCAGTATAATTTTTCAAAGACCCACAGCCAGATTTATAAAACCCAGGAGAAAAATATCAAAGCAGCACCAGTAGGTGTTTGAGAACTAATTGTGTTTGTTATTGATTTCTGGGTTAACTGTACTGTGGTTAGAGAACGTGAACTCTATATTGCTGTCATCTTTAGAAGTGTTTTCAGACTTGCTTTGTGGTCCACCTTTTGGTCAATTTTTGTAAATTCTCCTGTGTATCAGAAGAAAAGATATATCCGAAATCCATAGGGGCAGTGTTCTACATATGTGGCCATTCGGATAAGGGCAATTAATCATTTTATTCAGCTCTCTGTTTAGATCTACCAAGCATATGTAGCAAGACAATAACGAAACATCATTATTTCCATTGACTAGCAACAGATGGAAAATGAAATGAAAAGAAAGATGCCACTTAAAGTAGCATCAAAAAAATCAAGCAAGTGGAAATATATCCAGCAAGATATATAAAAAAACCTCTCTACAGCAAGCTCTTAAACATTATTAAGAGAATTTTTTAGAAATCTAAATGAAGCAATATATCATGTTCATTGAGTGGAAGTCACTATTGTAAGGATGGCTGTTTATCTCTAATTGATTTTTTAAATCAATCCCAATCCCAATCAGTATTCCAAAGGAAGTGTGTGTGTCCACGCGCACATGCGCGCGCACACACACGCACATGAAACTAGGCAAGCTGATTGTAAAATTTGCATGGTGTTGAAAATGATCAAAACATTCTTTTTTATTGTGTTATTTATTATTGATCAAAACACTCTTGAAGGAGAACAAAGCAAGAGGACATGTTCCGCTATATATCAAAATTTATAAAGCTGTAATAATTAAAATAGCATGGTGTTGGTGCAGGGAGAGACGACAAGTCAATGCAATAGAATGGAGGGTCCAGGAACAGACCTATGCTTATACTGACCCTTGATATATGACAAAAGTGGCAAGGTGCCAATGGAGAGAGGATAGAATACTTAATAAGTGGTAGAGACAATTGAATATCTATTGCAAAAAGTAAAGAGAGAGGTGTGGGGCAGGGTGCCTGTCTGGCTCAGTCAGTAGAGCATGAAACTCTTGATCTTGGGGTTGTGAATTTGAGCCCCATGTTGGGTATTGAGATTACTTAAAAATAAAAATCTTAAAAGAGAGAGAGAGAAAGACAAAAAAATCCTTACCTTACATTATACCAAAATATCAATTCCACGGATATTTAAGATCTATGAAAAGCAACGTGAAAAATAAAACTACATAAACTTTTAGAAGAAAACGTAGGAGATTTTTCCATGAGTTTTCAAAGAAGACAAAGAAAGCATTTGGTATAAAGGAAGCAATTAATAAATCTAACTACTTTAAAAATAAGAATTTCTGTTTATTACAAAGACACCATTAAGAGTTAAAAACATGAGTCACACAGTTGGATGAGAACTGAATGGCATATGATGGACAAAGACTGTTATCATGTGTACGTGCATGTATATAACTTATACACATCACATTAAAAACTTAAAAAAGGGCAAACAATTTGAATAAACACTTCAAAAGAGAAAATCCAAATGGCTTATAATGTATGAAAAGGTGTTAAGTATAAATTTTAATGAGATACCTTATACTCACAC